ATATGTTTCACAAATGCAAAACACAATTCACAGATGTACAAATGTGTACAACATTTTTTTTAATGTTAAAAAGAAGCTGCTATGAATACAGATAGTGTTCCCAAAAATGCAGCTGTCTTGTGTTAGCCACAATGTCTGGCCAAAATGAAGAAAGGGATCATTGCCCTGTTTTTGTTCACTAACACTGGGTGGCCAATGTCCAGACTAGCTGCCACTTAGCGCTGACCCTGCCCTCATAACCATAGCGTTATAATGATTAATAGACCTCACGAGAATTCAGTGTATGAACAACGAGATGTAAACTTACCATTTGTGCAACAGGATGCAGTGTTCAATTAATACACACTAATTGTTTTCCTTGATTTTTCAGGATTTAAACACTTTGGCACAACATCTGGATGACAGTTACAGATGTCTTCATTCACATTAATCTTTGTCTCTTTCATGTACATCACCTTTATGTATTCATTTCTTAATGTAATCAGCATTCATTTACTTTTCATATTATATTACTGTGATTAACCATTGTTAATGTAATTCTTATGTTGTGTTGTGTATTGTAATCTCAAAGATTTTTTAAATCACAAGACGATTTAGGTAAGCAGCAGTTGTGTTTGGTAACAGTTGTGGAATGCATGCTGGTCAGACAAAGACTGATCATAAAGAAGAATGCAACAAAGATTATTCAGTAATCTTTATTCAGTTATTTTATCACTTTATATCATGCTTTCTGCTCTTTCTGCATCTGCATCTCTTGTAAAAAAATATATAAGAGTTAACATGCCAAAGTGTTAATCACTTTGAATATCAGACCAAAATATGTCCTGACAGAGAGAGATAGTGAAAGACTGGATCTTAAACATTTGACTAATTGACTTTTCACATGATGTATTACACTGAAACAATTATCATTCAGCCATAACATTTTAAAATTTTATACTGATATTAAATACTGGTGAACTTCTAGCACAGCGTCAAACTGGTATCAAGCCAGTCTCAGACCTATGTAAGAAACATATATTCAACTGCGCTACGTTTATACTCCATAATTGTCAATTCATATTTCATGTTACAGGCACATTGCAATTAATCATGGTCAGGTCATTTCATGGACATTTTATTCCTGAAATAAATAGTATCTGCAGCATAAACAAACTTAAATGAAATGTACACGGTCTCCAATGCGTGCATGTTATCACATTGTCATCACTTGAATGCGAGTCATCACAGGACTTTACACACAAGACAAGCTCTGCTGTGACAGCTATTTCATATTCTCAATAAACAAAAAGTATATTTTCATAATCTTATATTTATTAACCACATGTCCCATCAGTAAAAACATTATTTTATGCTTTACACTGAGTTTCTGAATCTAATATCTTAATGTGGTATGGTCTCCACGTGGATAATGATTCTTTATTAAATAAACATAAGAATTGATCAATATTAAATCATAATACTCTAAAAAGCAGCCGCTGGCTTACATTGTTCATGTTAGCGAGTGTCTAAACGACCAAGTTTACTTCCAAGTTTTAAGTAAACATGCAAAAATAAAACGATAAACCTTTACTTGGCTAGTTAACTGAAATAAAGCGATCACTTACCTCACTTAAATCACTTAAATAGAGCACTTACCTCTGCTAAATCATAACTAGGGATGGGCAGATCGATCCTTAAGTATCGATATTTTCGATACTAATGTTGTATCGAAAGGATTGATGCTCACATAAAAATATCAATTCTAAAAATGTTTTAACCATTAATTTTATTTATTAAGAAATTCGGTGCATGAAATAAGCTTCTAAGTGGAAAAATACACTATATTAGTGAATAATTGAGTTGGATGGAACATTTCTCCTGCTCATCAGAACATGCACAAATGCTGAAAGACAGAACCAGTCAATCACTCACAGACAGCGTTCGCTGCTGACGCATGGCTCACAGTGCTTGTTTCAATAGGGCTGCATTTCCCAAAAGCATCAGAAGCATAAGTAGATCTTAAGAAACCATTGCCACATTTTTACATTAGCCTACATAACATTGTTACTATATATAAAATTAATTCTGAAAAATGTATCAATTTCCACACAAATATGAAGCAGCAATAATAATAAATGTTTCTTGAGCAGCAGATGATATTAGAATGATTTCTGAAGATCATGTGACACTGAAGACTGGAGTAATGATGCTGAAAATACAGCTGCACATCACAGATGCATTTTAAAGTACATTTTAAAATATATTAAAATAGAAAATATTTTTAATTGTTATATTTCACAATATTGCTGCTTTACTGTTTTCTTTTTTTTTTTTTCAAATAACTGCAGCCTTGGTGAGCATGAGACTTTAAAAAAATATTACAAAATCGTACTGACCCCAAACGTTTGTGTACATGTAATATTTATTTTAAATTGTCTAGTTTGTGCAAGTAAATTTATTTCAACTGGTTGTTAAAAGTTCAAATGGATTGTGTTATGTTCTATAATTGCTGTTTATAAATGTGTCCGAAAAATATATGCTAAAGTTTCACCTTTAGGGGTACAACAGCCTGGCAGCCTTTTACAAAAATTAACCATGGTTTTACTACAGTAACCACAGTTTACCACAGTATTTGTAGTAAAACTGCAGTAACCTCAAATTATGAGGTTACTGCCCCAGTAAAGGGCTAAAATACAATTATAGTATATTATATTTCTGACAGTGTAAACAAAAAAGGCCTATGAAATGTTAAAAAACATGGCTTTAAAATCTAATATTAAGTGAGTATAATTACTGATTATATTCTTTTAATAATTTAAAAGATCAGTTTAGTATAGAGGTATCGGTATCGATGATACTGGGTTTGAAAATATCGGTATCGGATCGAAAATAAAATAAGAGGTATCGCCCATCCCTAATCATAACTTGAACGGTGGTCTTGCGCTGATGACGTCAGCATCCAGGTAGGCACGCCCAGGGCATGCGATTCATACGCCCACAGTGGGTTATGATTGGTCGACAGTGTAAAACACATTGCTAAAAAATAAATAAAATACTGCTATTTCCACTTAGTGTAAACAGCATCTATCGTTAAGAAAATATGCTATTTTCACTTGGTGTGTATAGCATCTAATTGCTATTTACACAGTGTAAATACTTGCCGATTGGTGTGCGCAGCTCCGCATGAAGTTGAACACACTGCTGTTCCAAGCATGAGACCCACGAGATGGCCAATAAAATCTATGAAGGCGGGCATTACCTGTTTACAGGGGTCTAAAAACTACTTGAAAATTACACTTAAAGGGGTCATATGATGTTTCTAAAAAGAACATTATTTTGTGTATTTGGTGTAATGAAATGTGTTTATGTGGTTTAAAGTTAAAAAAACATTATTTTCCACATACTGTGCATTATTGTTTCTCCTCTATGCCCCGCCTTTCTGAAACGCGTCGATTTTTACAAAGCTCATCGGTCTGAAAAGCGAGGTGTGCTCTGATTGGCCAGCTATCCAGTGCGTTGTGATTGGCCGTATACCTCAAGCGTGTGACGGAAATGTTACGCCCCTTAACATATTGTGATGCCCTGTCCGGCCGGGGCGATGATTCAAAAACATTAAAACCCATTATAAACGAGGCATGTGTTGCATCCAGTGGGGACATAATTACGAATTATGACTTATACTATCTTTTTACGTATTGCGTTGCATAGCGCCACGTAAACATAAAACCATGTCTGCATTTGTGATTGGAGAAATGACAAACAAGCGCTACTCTACACTGCTCAAAACTTGCGTTTGAATCGTCAGTGGCAAATTCTTTAAATGAAAACGTACTTACAGTCTGTGAGTCAGAACAGCCGGCATTGTAGTCTACTCTCCCAAGATCAGGAGACAGTCCTCCATAAAATGTGCTGCACACAAATAAATATTTGTTGAACTGTTCTGGAACAGTGTTGTAAATACAACTTAACCACTGATTTCTAGTTGTGTCCTCTTTTGGAAGACCAAACAAAGTAGTTTCACTTTCACAACAAAACACATGGTGGGCTAGAGTGAGCGGAGGCCGGTGGATTTGATGGAGCGGACAGCGGGCTTGTGGCAACCACATGTGACGACCCCGGGCTGGACTCCGCTCAGTCCACAATGAAAGCCAATCCACAGCACAAAGTTTATGTATTTCCTCAGCGACCAGCACGGATCAGCTCCAGGCATGACGAAGCTTTCGAAATGAACAAAGGTTCGCTTTCACAATGAAAACACACAGCACCTTCACGACATGGCAGCAGCAACAATACTACAATGAGAATAAAAGTTACGCCTTTTCTTTGCGTGACCATTTGGGGGGCATTATGCAAATCTTCCCACATCGTGACAGACACGTGGGGGCATATTAGAACAAGCCTTTTTAGATAGGCGTGTTTGACTAAGTACAGTTTAATGCTGTACAGCTTTCTGTATCTAAAGGGGTCATATGCGATTTCAATTTTTCCTTTCTCTTTGGAGTGTTACAAGCGCTTGGTGCATAAAGACCTGTAAAGTTGCAAAGACTAAAGTCTCAATTCCAAAGAGATATTTATAAAAGTTAAAGGTATGACATGTAGCTATAGAGAAGAAACAGGCTGCAGCCCATGAGGCACATGCATGCGTCACTCCTGACCAGCTGAATAACCTCCATGAGAAGACAAGAATACAAATAGTTTACAGAGTGCGGAAAACCGCTGCAGAAGAGGAAAAAAAAAAATATATATATTTGGTTCACTCCTAACATTTGGTGCCATTTGTGTCCCCATGACACAATGTGGTATATTTTGTGTAAAAATGGACTAATACTTTTCTAAATGACCAGGTCCCAGGGAGAGGAACTTACACAAAGCACTGATGACAGATAGCAGTTGAGAAAACAGCCAAATGATAACAAACACCAACTCTTCAATCAATAAATTATTTTTATTTGAGGGAAGGGGGAGAGAGAGAGCGCATGACCGAAAAACTTTCTAAACTGTTGACAAGGAAAACATGCCATATGAATAAAGCACTGAATTGAGAAGATCTCCGGTAGGTGTTATGCAAAATTTCAATGAAAGTTTCAAAGACCACATCCCCGACAGTTTCCATGACCACATCCCCAACCACTTCCTTGACCACATCCGACCATTTCATTGACCGCCTCCCTTACTGCTTGCTTGACCACTTTTCTGACCACTTCCCTGATGGCTTGCCTGACTGCTTGCTTGACTATATGCTTGACCATTTCCCTGACCGCTCCCCTGGCCATAACCTCTTCCCTGACGGCTTGCTTGACCACTTCCCTGACCGCCAGCCTGATTATAACCCCTTCCCTGACTGATCGCTTGACCACTTCCCTGACTGATTGCCTGATTGCTTGCCTGACCATTTCCTTGATGGCTTGCCTGATTGCTTGCCTGACCATAACCGCTTCCCTGACCATTTCCTTGACTGCTTCCCTGACCACTTGCTTGACCACTTCCCTGACCATTTGTTTGATCGCTAGCCTGACTATAACCCTTTCCTTGAATGCTTGCTTGACCATTTCCCTGACCACTTCCCTGACTGCTGGCTAGACTATATGCTTGACCACTCCCCTGACCATTTCCTTGACTGCTTCCCTGACCACTTGCTTGACCACTTCCCTGACCATTTGTTTGATCGCTAGCCTGACTATAACCCCTTCCCTGAACACTTGGTTGACCACTTCCCTGACCTCTTCCCTGACCAAAACCGCTTCCCTGACTGATTGCTTGACCACTTTCCTGATGGCTTTCCTGACCATTACCTTGATGGCTTGCCTGACCACTTCCCTGATCAAAACCACTTCCCTGACCATTTGCGTCACCGCTAGCCTGACTATAACCCCTTCCCTGAACGCTTGCTTGACCACTTCCCTGACCACTTGATTGACCCTGACTGCTTGTCTGACCATAACCGCTTCCCTGACCATTTGTTTGACCACTAGCCTGACTATAACCCCTTCCTTGACCGCTTCCATGGCCATTTCCCCGACCACTTCCCTGATCAAAACCGCTTCCCTGACTGCTTGCTTCACCGCTAGCCTGACCATTTCCCTGAAGGCTAGCCTGACCATTTCCCTGAAGGCTTGCCTGATCAAAACTGCTTCCCCGACTGATTGCTTGACCACTTCCCTGACCGCTTGCCTGACCATTTCCTTGACTGCTTCCCTGATGGCTTGCCTGACTATAACCCCTTCCTTGAACGCTTGCTTGACCATTTCCCTGACCAAAAACGCTTCCCTGACTGCTTGCCTGACCACTTGCTTCACCGCTAGCCTGACTATAACCCCATCCCTGAACACTTGCTTGACCACTTCCCTGATGGCTTGCCTGATTGCTTACTTGACCGCTTCCCTGACTGCTGGCTAGACTGTATGCTTGACCACTTCCCTGATCAAAAACACTTCCCTGACTGCTTGCCTGACCACTTCCCTGACCAAAAACGCTTCCCTGACTGCTTGCCTGACCACTTGCTTCGCCGCTAGCCTGACTATAACCCCTTCCTTGAAGGCTTGCTTGACCATTTCCCTGACCACTTCCCTGATCAAAAACACTTCCCTGACTGCTTGCCTGACCACTTGCTTCGCCGCTAGCCTGACTATAACCCCTTCCTTGAAGGCTTGCTTGACCATTTCCCTGACCACTTCCCTGATCAAAAACACTTCCCTGACTGCTTGCCTGACCACTTGCTTCGCCGCTAGCCTGACTATAACCCCTTCCTTGAAGGCTTGCTTGACCATTTCCCTGACCACTTCCCTGATCAAAAACACTTCCCTGACTGCTTGCCTGACCACTTGCTTCGCCGCTAGCCTGACTATAACCCCTTCCTTGAAGGCTTGCTTGACCATTTCCCTGACCACTTCCCTGATCAAAAACACTTCCCTGACTGCTTGCCTGACCACTTGCTTCGCCGCTAGCCTGACTATAACCCCTTCCTTGAAGGCTTGCTTGACCATTTCCCTGACCACTTCCCTGATCAAAAACACTTCCCTGACTGCTTGCCTGACCACTTGCTTCGCCGCTAGCCTGACTATAACCCCTTCCTTGAAGGCTTGCTTGACCATTTCCCTGACCACTTCCCTGATCAAAAACACTTCCCTGACTGCTTGCCTGACCACTTGCTTCGCCGCTAGCCTGACTATAACCCCTTCCTTGAAGGCTTGCTTGACCATTTCCCTGACCACTTCCCTGATCAAAAACACTTCCCTGACTGCTTGCCTGACCACTTGCTTCGCCGCTAGCCTGACTATAACCCCTTCCTTGAAGGCTTGCTTGACCATTTCCCTGACCACTTCCCTGATCAAAAACACTTCCCTGACTGCTTGCCTGACCACTTGCTTCGCCGCTAGCCTGACTATAACCCCTTCCTTGAAGGCTTGCTTGACCATTTCCCTGACCACTTCCCTGATCAAAAACACTTCCCTGACTGCTTGCCTGACCACTTGCTTCGCCGCTAGCCTGACTATAACCCCTTCCTTGAAGGCTTGCTTGACCATTTCCCTGACCACTTCCCTGATCAAAAACACTTCCCTGACTGCTTGCCTGACCACTTGCTTCGCCGCTAGCCTGACTATAACCCCTTCCTTGAAGGCTTGCTTGACCATTTCCCTGACCACTTCCCTGATCAAAAACACTTCCCTGACTGCTTGCCTGACCACTTGCTTCGCCGCTAGCCTGACTATAACCCCTTCCTTGAAGGCTTGCTTGACCATTTCCCTGACCACTTCCCTGATCAAAAACACTTCCCTGACTGCTTGCCTGACCACTTGCTTCGCCGCTAGCCTGACTATAACCCCTTCCTTGAAGGCTTGCTTGACCATTTCCCTGACCACTTCCCTGATCAAAAACACTTCCCTGACTGCTTGCCTGACCACTTGCTTCGCCGCTAGCCTGACTATAACCCCTTCCTTGAAGGCTTGCTTGACCATTTCCCTGACCACTTCCCTGATCAAAAACACTTCCCTGACTGCTTGCCTGACCACTTGCTTCGCCGCTAGCCTGACTATAACCCCTTCCTTGAAGGCTTGCTTGACCATTTCCCTGACCACTTCCCTGATCAAAAACACTTCCCTGACTGCTTGCCTGACCACTTGCTTCGCCGCTAGCCTGACTATAACCCCTTCCTTGAAGGCTTGCTTGACCATTTCCCTGACCACTTCCCTGATCAAAAACACTTCCCTGACTGCTTGCCTGACCACTTGCTTCGCCGCTAGCCTGACTATAACCCCTTCCTTGAAGGCTTGCTTGACCATTTCCCTGACCACTTCCCTGATCAAAAACACTTCCCTGACTGCTTGCCTGACCACTTGCTTCGCCGCTAGCCTGACTATAACCCCTTCCTTGAAGGCTTGCTTGACCATTTCCCTGACCACTTCCCTGATCAAAAACACTTCCCTGACTGCTTGCCTGACCACTTGCTTCGCCGCTAGCCTGACTATAACCCCTTCCTTGAAGGCTTGCTTGACCATTTCCCTGACCACTTCCCTGATCAAAAACACTTCCCTGACTGCTTGCCTGACCACTTGCTTCGCCGCTAGCCTGACTATAACCCCTTCCTTGAAGGCTTGCTTGACCATTTCCCTGACCACTTCCCTGATCAAAAACACTTCCCTGACTGCTTGCCTGACCACTTGCTTCGCCGCTAGCCTGACTATAACCCCTTCCTTGAAGGCTTGCTTGACCATTTCCCTGACCACTTCCCTGATCAAAAACACTTCCCTGACTGCTTGCCTGACCACTTGCTTCGCCGCTAGCCTGACTATAACCCCTTCCTTGAAGGCTTGCTTGACCATTTCCCTGACCACTTCCCTGATCAAAAACACTTCCCTGACTGCTTGCCTGACCACTTGCTTCGCCGCTAGCCTGACTATAACCCCTTCCTTGAAGGCTTGCTTGACCATTTCCCTGACCACTTCCCTGATCAAAAACACTTCCCTGACTGCTTGCCTGACCACTTGCTTCGCCGCTAGCCTGACTATAACCCCTTCCTTGAAGGCTTGCTTGACCATTTCCCTGACCACTTCCCTGATCAAAAACACTTCCCTGACTGCTTGCCTGACCACTTGCTTCGCCGCTAGCCTGACTATAACCCCTTCCTTGAAGGCTTGCTTGACCATTTCCCTGACCACTTCCCTGATCAAAAACACTTCCCTGACTGCTTGCCTGACCACTTGCTTCGCCGCTAGCCTGACTATAACCCCTTCCTTGAAGGCTTGCTTGACCATTTCCCTGACCACTTCCCTGATCAAAAACACTTCCCTGACTGCTTGCCTGACCACTTGCTTCGCCGCTAGCCTGACTATAACCCCTTCCTTGAAGGCTTGCTTGACCATTTCCCTGACCACTTCCCTGATCAAAAACACTTCCCTGACTGCTTGCCTGACCACTTGCTTCGCCGCTAGCCTGACTATAACCCCTTCCTTGAAGGCTTGCTTGACCATTTCCCTGACCACTTCCCTGATCAAAAACACTTCCCTGACTGCTTGCCTGACCACTTGCTTCGCCGCTAGCCTGACTATAACCCCTTCCTTGAAGGCTTGCTTGACCATTTCCCTGACCACTTCCCTGATCAAAAACACTTCCCTGACTGCTTGCCTGACCACTTGCTTCGCCGCTAGCCTGACTATAACCCCTTCCTTGAAGGCTTGCTTGACCATTTCCCTGACCACTTCCCTGATCAAAAACACTTCCCTGACTGCTTGCCTGACCACTTGCTTCGCCGCTAGCCTGACTATAACCCCTTCCTTGAAGGCTTGCTTGACCATTTCCCTGACCACTTCCCTGATCAAAAACACTTCCCTGACTGCTTGCCTGACCACTTGCTTCGCCGCTAGCCTGACTATAACCCCTTCCTTGAAGGCTTGCTTGACCATTTCCCTGACCACTTCCCTGATCAAAAACACTTCCCTGACTGCTTGCCTGACCACTTGCTTCGCCGCTAGCCTGACTATAACCCCTTCCTTGAAGGCTTGCTTGACCATTTCCCTGACCACTTCCCTGATCAAAAACACTTCCCTGACTGCTTGCCTGACCACTTGCTTCGCCGCTAGCCTGACTATAACCCCTTCCTTGAAGGCTTGCTTGACCATTTCCCTGACCACTTCCCTGATCAAAAACACTTCCCTGACTGCTTGCCTGACCACTTGCTTCGCCGCTAGCCTGACTATAACCCCTTCCTTGAAGGCTTGCTTGACCATTTCCCTGACCACTTCCCTGATCAAAAACACTTCCCTGACTGCTTGCCTGACCACTTGCTTCGCCGCTAGCCTGACTATAACCCCTTCCTTGAAGGCTTGCTTGACCATTTCCCTGACCACTTCCCTGATCAAAAACACTTCCCTGACTGCTTGCCTGACCACTTGCTTCGCCGCTAGCCTGACTATAACCCCTTCCTTGAAGGCTTGCTTGACCATTTCCCTGACCACTTCCCTGATCAAAAACACTTCCCTGACTGCTTGCCTGACCACTTGCTTCGCCGCTAGCCTGACTATAACCCCTTCCTTGAAGGCTTGCTTGACCATTTCCCTGACCACTTCCCTGATCAAAAACACTTCCCTGACTGCTTGCCTGACCACTTGCTTCGCCGCTAGCCTGACTATAACCCCTTCCTTGAAGGCTTGCTTGACCATTTCCCTGACCACTTCCCTGATCAAAAACACTTCCCTGACTGCTTGCCTGACCACTTGCTTCGCCGCTAGCCTGACTATAACCCCTTCCTTGAAGGCTTGCTTGACCATTTCCCTGACCACTTCCCTGATCAAAAACACTTCCCTGACTGCTTGCCTGACCACTTGCTTCGCCGCTAGCCTGACTATAACCCCTTCCTTGAAGGCTTGCTTGACCATTTCCCTGACCACTTCCCTGATCAAAAACACTTCCCTGACTGCTTGCCTGACCACTTGCTTCGCCGCTAGCCTGACTATAACCCCATCCCTGAACACTTGCTTGACCACTTCCCTGACCGCTTGCCTGACCATTTCCTTGACTGCTTCCCTGATGGCTTGCCTGACTATAACCCCTTCCTTGAACGCTTGCTTGACCATTTCCCTGACCAAAAACGCTTCCCTGACTGCTTGCCTGACCACTTGCTTCACCGCTAGCCTGACTATAACCCCTTCCCTGAACACTTGCTTGACCACTTCCCTGACGGCTTGCCTGATTGCTTGCTTGACCGCTTCCCTGACTGCTTGCTAGACTGTATGCTTGACCACTTCCCTGACCGCTTGCCTGACCATTTCCTTGACTGCTTCCCTGATGGCTTGCCTGACTATAACCCCTTCCTTGAACGCTTGCTTGACCATTTCCCTGACCAAAAACGCTTCCCTGACTGCTTGCCTGACCACTTGCTTCACCGCTAGCCTGACTATAACCCCTTCCCTGAACACTTGCTTGACCACTTCCCTGACGGCTTGCCTGATTGCTTGCTTGACCGCTTCCCTGACTGCTTGCTAGACTGTATGCTTGACCACTTCCCTGACCGCTTGCCTGATTGCTTGCCTGACCATTTCCTTGATGGCTTGCCTGATTGCTTACTTGACCGCTTCCCTGACTGCTGGCTAGACTGTATGCTTGACCACTTCCCTGATCAAAAACACTTCCCTGACTGCTTGCCTGACCACTTCCCTGATCAAAAACGCTTCCCTGACTGCTTGCCTGACCATTTGTTTGACCGCTAGCCTGACTATAACCCCTTCCTTGAACGCTTGCTTGACCACTTCCTTGACCATTTCCCTGACCACTTCCCGGATCAAAAACGCTTCCCTGACTGCTTGCCTGACCATTTGTTTGACCGCTAGCCTGACTATAACCCCTTCCTTGAAGGCTTGCTTGACCATTTCCCTGACCACTTCTCTGATCAAAAACGCTTCCTTGACCATTTCCCTGACCACTTCCCTGATCAAAAACGCTTCCCTGACTGCTTGCCTGACCACTTCCCTGACCATTTGCTTCACCGCTAGCCTGACTATAACCCCTTCCCTGAACACTTGCTTGACCACTTCCCTGACCGCTTGCCTGACCATTTCCCTGACGGCTTGCCTGATCATTTCCTTGATGGCTTGCCTGATTGCTTGCTTGACCACTTCCCTGACCGCTAGCCTGACTATAACCCCTTCCCTGAACGCTTGCTTGACCATTTCCCTGACCACTTCCTTGATCAAAACGGCTTCCCTGACTGATTGCTTGACCACTTTCCTGACCACTTCCTTGATGGCTTGCCTGACTATAACTCCTTCCTTGAACGCTTGCTTGACCACTTCCTTGACCATTTCCCTGACCGCTTGCCTGATTGCTTGCCTGACCATTTCCTTGATGGCTTGCCTGATTGCTT